CCCCCCCACAACAGACATCCTGGGAGGTAGGTGGGGCTGAGAGAGCTCTCTCGAGAACTGCCGTTGAGAGAACAGCTCTGAGAGAACTGTGACTGGCCCGAGGTCATCCAGCAGCTGCATGTGGAGGAGTGAGGAACCGAACCCGGTTCTCCCAGATCAGAGTCCGCGCCCTTAACCACGACACCAAACTGGCTCTCATGGTGGTGTGCCTGTTGAGGAATGTGGCTCTGAACTGACCTCCTCTGGCCAGCTGCTTGTTAGGGAGATGGGGTCAGTTTCTACTTTGGCTCGAGACCAGGGGTGGACTCTATGGCACTGTACCCTGCTGAGGTCTCTGCCCTCCCCAAACCTGGCCTTCCGCCCCCCCCACCTCCAAGTACTTTCAAACCCAGAGCCGACGACACTAGTCTCAATCGGACATGGCCCCCCTCCAAGCCCCCCTACCCCAATTTTGCACTTTTACACCCTCGTGCTCCCTGCTCAACGGCCAAGCAAATCGTCTGAGTCCCTCCAGGTTGTCAAAATGCTGTCTCCGTGTTGTCGGTGGTAAACAGCTTTCTGTGAGCATCGCTTGAGCTCTTTGCTCTTTGCAGGCTTGGCTTCTTGTGGGGATGCAAGTCTGAACAAAAGTTTTCGATAGAGAGTGGAAGCAGGGAACAAAGAGAGCTAAAATAGCATATGCAGTCTCTCTCTCTCTCTCTCTCTCTCTCTGTCTCGTGCCATGCCTATGCTTGTCCAGAACTGACGTGGTTTTTTCCACAGCTGGGAAGGAATTCAATTTTGCTTTGACCCCGACACGCTGTGCTCTCTGCGGAGCTATTTTTGACAGCACTCGAGCACTTTAGGTACGGCAGAATCCTTTTACCAGGACAACCTCCGCCTGACCTGCCTCCAAGAAGCGTGGCTCACCTGCGGCGCCCTGTCGTTAGGCAAGATTTGGAAAAGATGTAGAAAAAGCAAGGCCAGGACCCGACAGGGAAAGGCTGTATATCTTAGCAGGGCAAGCTGTGAGCCCAGGGCCTCGGTTCCGTGCCGTTTGGGGGGAATAGTGCCCATTCCACGGCTCCTGCTGCCACTGCAGGCATTCGGCTTTGGGGACAGAACCGTTCCGGTTCAAGGTCAACGTCACCTAGGTCAAACCAGATGTTCCAAGGGGCACACGGCTGCTGTGAAAAGCAAAAGACCCCCACACACACCGGGCTGTCACCCACGTCTCCCCGATAACGTCTAGGAAAGGCAATCTATGATATGAAGTAGAATCATAGAATGTTGGAAGGGACCTTGCAGGTCATCTAGTCCAACCTCCTGCACTCTGCAGGAGCACAGCCGAAAGAGAGCCCTACATACCTACAACAGACCCAAAAGAGGGTCTCCCAGCCTCTGCTTGAAAACGTCCAGCGAAGGAGCATCCACCACCTCCCGAGGCAAACTCAACCACTGACTCTTTCCTGATATTGAGCCGGTAATGGCTCCCTTGTAATTTCCACCCATTAGATCTAGTCTTGCGATCCAGAGCAAGAGAGAAGAGATCTGCTCCATCTTCTAGTACTACATGACAGCGCTTCAAAAAGTAGACTCTTCATGCTCGGTTTCTGCCAGCAGAACTTTAGAGCAGGGAAGGGGGTCACAGTGGGAGGGCTTCTGGTGTCCTGGCCCCACTGCTGGACCTCCTGAGGGCACCTGGTGTTTTTGGCCGCTGTGTGACACAGACTGTTGGACTGGATGAGCCATGGGCCTGATTCAAAAGGGCTTCTCTCATGTTCTTATGTAACTGAGTGTGTATGGAATATTCCTCTGGGGTCAAGAAGGAGTCTTGTTCCTGACTTTGGCAAACCTCTAATGCTGTTTTCCTTCTGGTTTCACCTCCAGATAAGACCGTCCCCTTGCGCATCCTTTATGAGAAGTACGGTGGGTGCTTAACGCAAGACAACATGATCAAGGCGATGGCCCTCCTCCAGGACTACGAGACCAAAGAGATTGTGCTTGGCGTCCGGAACATCTACGTTAAAAACCCAGACATCAAAATCAGGGTATGGAGGTGCTGGCCTGTCTCTGTGTAGCACAGAACTTCGGAGCAGTGGGAGATCTGACCAGAGAGTGATGTAGGCAAGCCTGGACAGGAAGGAAGGGAGGGAGGGGCTGTGGCTCAGTGGTATAGAGCTTCTGCTTGGCATGCAGAAGGTCCCAGGTTCAATCCTTGGCATCTCCAGTTAGAAGGACCAGGTAATAGGTGACGTGAAAGATCTACTGGGTAGAAAGAAATGGGTACATGCCCTATACATGCCATGTCAAATGTTATAATAGGACAGGCTCAATATATTTAGGATGTTACAAATCTCTACGGAGTTGCCATTACCTCACAGCTGTCTGTAGCTCTCTGGGCAAGCACATGGTCAACAATGGCTGCCTTCCCGGAGGAGAGGTCTCCGTGTGCTCATGTCCTGAGCACCCAAAGAAAAGAGAGCTCCTTCCTCCTGCAAGGAGGTTTTATCAGATCTCTTCGCCTCCCACTGACCTGGCCAGGCCAGGTCAAAGAGGCACTTCCTGGAGCCTCTTCCCTTGTGCCTTGCTAGTGCAAAATCCTCCAGCTCTCTGTTCCCTGCTTGGGGGAGGGGGGAGGGCTTGACCCACTCCATTGTTTCTAGCTAAATCCATTAGCATATGTATACAGCTAAGCTGGAAAGCCATTGCACTCACTCCCCACCCCCGGTCCCAGCGGGGGGGGGGGGGCTGTTAAAATGCAAAAGGGAGGTTTGGTTCATTCCCAACCTCCCAGGAGAGAAAAGGGCATTTCTTCACATACTTGTATCCCACTTTTCAGCTACGGTCTCCCAAAGTGGTTTCCCTCCATGAAGAAAGAAGCCAGGCTCCTAGTCTGAAAAGGCGAGATGCACAAAGGGAGGGGAGGGGAGGGGAGGAGGCTTCATGTGACAGAAGTCTCTCTTGGGATCGATTTGGGCCAGACTAGGGCTGCCAAGTGGGGGCGGGCGGGTGGGTAAACCCTCGCTTTGGAAGCCCGATTCCCGCCGCCCCGGAAATCAATCATGTTGGGGGCGTGGCCCCGATCGTCAGAAGGAAAACTCTATGGTTTTCACTCCGATGATCGGGGCCACGCCTTCAACGTGATCGACGTTGTGCGTCACTTCTGGTGACGTGCTGGCGGCGCTTTGCGCACGCGCATCGAAGGACGGCTCCCGGAGCCAGGCGAGGCTCCCCTGCCGGTAAGATATTTTGACTTGGCAACCCTAGGCCAGACTGACTTTCCTGGAGGGAAACCTTGCTGGGGCGAGAGCGGTGGGGGGCTGTCCAGTGGAGCAAAGGTTGTCATCTCTGGGTTGGGACGATTCCTAAAGATTTGGGGGTGGAGCCTGGGGGAGGCGGGGTTTGAGGAAGGTCTTAGAGTCCACCCTCTGAAGCTGACAGAATGGATGTCTGTTGCCCGGGGATCAGTCACCACCAGTGTTCCCTCTAAGCCGAGTGAGTGTGAGCCAGCTCACAGTTTTTCAGCCTCCGGCTCACACCTTTCTGTCTGAGCTCGGGAAGGAGGGCTCCAGAGCAAACTGATTTATGCAGCTGCCGAACCGCTCACTCACAACTTCCATGCCAGGAGCTCACAAAGTAGAATTTTTGCTCACGAGACTCCACAGTTTAGAGGGAACACGACTTCAGGAGATCCCCAGGCCCCGCCTGGAGGCCGGCAAACTTATCAGTGGCCTTCAGCCTTCCAGATGTCCTTTTCCTTCTCTCCTGATGTTCAGAGGAGTGGCAGATGGAGCCGAACTCTTCCTGGCATTCTGCCCTGTGTGTTTTTTATTGACAAAGACCTCCGATCTGTGTAAGCCTCCTGAGGACTGTGCACTTACAGCTAGGAGTGTCTGACAACAGGAAGAAAACAAGACATCAGTCCCAAGAAAGGTGATACCAGTCAAGTCCTCGAGAGAGTCGGGGCCGTTGTCCTCGATGGGCGGCTGGCTCCACCCCGTCTGGCAGGACAAAGGAAACACTCGGGGCAAACCTGGGTGCTCACGCCATTGGCATTTGGCAGCTTCTACCAGTCAGGAGAGGAAGGACGGTTTTGCCTGGGCACGCTCCTTGGCGAACAGCTGGTTTGAAACAAGGGGGTGTGTCTGTAGTCCGTATGCAAAGTGGAGGGGGATTAGTTTGACCACCTTTAAAAGGGCAGCCAGTAAATGTCGGAAGGGGGGTGGGGTTCTGACAATCCCTGAGCACATTTCACTATCTCCGCAGGTTTCTCGCGGGTCCCCACTTGTTTCGCATTAATTTGCATTCCTGAAAATGTATCCAACGGATATATTTGCCTGGGCTACTTATCTTCCACTGTCCTCCCTTAAAAAGGAGGGCCCAAGGCAGATTACAAAGGCCCCTGCAAATCACCCCAAAACATAAATGTTTGACAAACAAGGACGGTCAATGTAAGCCACACAGTAGTACCCGAACATCCCGTTGATATTTGTCCTAGAGAAAGCAGGGGCACTTTGCTAATGAGGGCCAAACGCAGCGGCCGGGGCAATGGCCGGGGGGGGTGCACATTGGTCAAATGAGAGTGGTCTCCGTCATCATGGTCTCGATCCAATTAGCCCTTTGCAGGAATGTCAACAGGTGGCACAGGCTAGCCTAACCTCCATCATTCTGACACGCCCGAGGAAATGCCGATCACCACTTTGGAATCAGGAAGCAATTTTTCTCCAGGCCAGTTTGGCTGGAGATCCTGGAGGTTTTTTGTCACCTTCTGGGCATGGAGCAGGGGTCACTGGGGGTGTGGAGGGTAGAGATGTGAAGGCCCGGAAAAAAAAAACGGAAAAATTCGGGGGGGGTTCAAATTCCATGGCAACTCAAACACAGCCACCAGCAACCTGAAAACCCTTTTGACTGGAGAGAAAGACAGCGCTGAATAGGGAAGTATGCTTTGCCAAGTCTGTCCAGAAAGCCAGCTGCATAGGCCAGTACTTAGAAGCATGTGGAATCCATAAACGGCCATTCTGCCTATATTACCTTATTTATTTATTTATATTATTTCTAGCCCGCCCTCCCCTGCACAGCAACGCCCAGGGCATGTTACAATAATGCATATAAAACAATAAGATTAATTAAATATTGTAATGTATTGAAATGATTACATGAATCACCTCATAGGACTCCCGTGTTAAGCTTCGAGCCAGACCAGGGCTCCTCTGAGCGAACTTCCTATTGGTCGCTTCGTAACAGCGACCAATCAGAACGATACCATTCCCTAGGAGGGAAAGACTCCCATTGGTCTTTATTCTAGCAATCTCATTGGTTGTTATTTGTAAATAGGCGTGGCTACATTAGCCCGGTTATGTTTAAAAGGAGCATAAGCTCCCACTGTTTTCTGTTCTGGTTTCTTACTGAGTTAGTGCTTGCTCGTTACTTCCAATAAAGCTGAATCACTTGCTGAATCACTGTACGAGTCCTTTGTTAGCGCGATCTAACAATTGGCGACGAGGATGGGATGTTAGAGCAGGTAGGCAGCCCTGCGGACATCCACACTTCGGACTCGGAAGAAAGCGGGCAGAGCACAGCAGCCGATCCGGCGGAGGCGCCACCAGCTCCGGTGCCCAAGTCTCCCCCGATGGCTGGAAGCCAGAAGTTCGAGTGCTTCGAACCCTCCTCAGAAGACTGGGACTCCTACCTGTCCAGGTTCGAGTTCCATCTGGAGACCCACGACATCACCGATGAGGCGAAGAAACGAGCATGCCTCCTGAGTTCCTGCGGGAAGGGGACCTTCGACATAGCCAGGTCGTTGGTGGCCCCAACTGATATAAAGACTGTCACCTACGCTGACATCACGGAGAAGCTTAAGGCTCACTATTCTCCACAACCGTCGGAGATCGCCTGCCGGCACGCTTTTTACAAGCGGAACCAGGCCGGAGGCGAGACCATCGCAGATTTCGTGGCGGCCCTTCGCAAAGCCGCACGGCCATGTAATTTCCACAACGTGGAGGAAGCCCTCAGAGACCGTCTCGTCTGCGGTCTCAAAGATGAAAGGCTGCAACAGAGGCTGTTCGCCCGCACCACCCTGACCTGGGCAGTGGCCTACGAAGAGGCCGTGGCCGCGGAAGCAGCGGAGAAGTCCACGAAGGAGGTCCGCCAGCGGGTGGCAGAGCCCAGTATACACGCTCAACGAGACAGCGAGGGCGAAGACGCGGATGATGACGTCAACGCGGTTCGAGGCAAGCGGACCCCAGCGAAGACTACCAACGTCAAGCCTTGCTCCGGTTGTGGCGGGAAGCACCAGCGCGGCTCCTGTTGGGCTCGTGATGTCGACTGCAGAGCGTGTGGGCGGCGTGGTCATCTGGCCAGAGTCTGCAGATCAGCGAAGAAGGATCCCTCAACTAACAACCGGTCAGCGCAGAGGGGCACTCCAGTCAGCACCCAAGGCAAGACCCGTTCCTCAGCATCGGAAGCAAGCTGCCAGTTGACGGCGACCTTGTCGAGCGCATCGGCCGTAAATCGCACCAGCAGCCAGGGCAAGATCACCGTGACTCCACTCCTCGACGGCCGACCCTGTACAATGGAGGTGGACTCAGGATCGTCCGTGACGGTGATTTCTGCCGCGTCCTGGCGCCAGTTGTTCCCGAACCGAAGCCGGCGGCGGCTCCAGCCTGCGGGAACCAGAGTGTCCGACTTCCAGGGCAACCGAATTCCCTTGGCCGGACGGGACTCTGTTACTGTTGAGTATAAGGGGAAATGTGTTAAACTGTCATTCCTGATTGCAGAGGGAGACCGGGTTAACCTGCTAGGGTTAGATTGGTTTGAGCCATTGGGCATCGGTATTTCTGGGATTAACAGGATGTCTGAAAATAAATGGGGCATGCTGTACGACCTGTTCCCTGATGTATTTGCCGAAGGGTTGGGAAGGTACAAGGGCCCCCCGGTTGCGTTTGACTTAGATCCGTCAGTCAAACCTATTAGGTTGAAGTATCGGAAAGTACCTGTGTCTCTCAAACATAAGGTGGAAAAAGAGATTGACAAACTAGTTGAGCAAGGG